GTTAAAGGAGAAAAGGTAGTTTTGGGGGAGGAGAGGGGGGGCGTTTGGGGGGAAAACATGATGTGATTCCCCTTTAAGATATGTGATGTCATCACAATGTGATGTAATACTCCACCAATCGCAATGCAGCCCAGGTGTGAGCCCCGCCCACTCTGTGCTGAGTTGCTTATCTCAGTCAAGGGCAATAATTGGCCTCAGATTCCTGGGTTAAAAGGGGGGGGAACGGGGTGTGGGGTGGTGTTTGTACAACGTACTGGAGGGTCCCTGGAGAGAGTGAATGGTCAATTCCAGCATCTCAGAGAATCACCGGTTGGAAGGTGTCACGTGGGGAGGGGGAGGAAGGGGACAACTGCTCTTCAACCATTCCTCTGCCCACATTTCTTACATGGCACCTTATCAACCACCACCTTCCTAAAATACGAACGAAGAATATCGATTGCCTCTCTCTTATCCACATTTTTGGTTACTCCAGAACCTGGTTGTTGGTCGATTGGCGGATTGCTTTCCGGGGTAATAATCCTCCAAAAAGCAAAAAAATTGGGGTCATTCAATTCACGACCATTTGTGGGACATGGCTGCCGCGTTTCACCCACAAAGTACACAGTCAATTCACTTTACAATATGTTCTGTGAAGCGCTTTGAGATGTCCCAATGATTGTGACAAGGCGCTGTGTCAAATTATTATTATTATTATCATCATCATCATCAATTCCATATTTTGTAAATGCTCCACAACAATATCGCTTATTAAGACCTCAGGCAGCTTCTCTACAACTGACGCAGATTCCCCGGTTTATAGTTCCCTGGCTGTTTCCTATTTCTAAACAGCACAGTGACATTTGCTCCTCTCCAATCCTCTGGGACAATCCTCATATCTGCAGATTTCTGGAAAATAATAGTCAGGCGCAGCGGTTATTTCATTATTGACTTCCCTCAAGGTTCCTGCATACATCCCTCGGGAACCTGGAGATTTATGCACTTTAATCCCCATTAACCCTTTTTCCATCAGCATAACAACAACAGTAAATCTAGTGCCTTACTGTATCTTTGAGACGTCTCCAAACACTTCACAGAATATATTGTAAAGTGAATTGACTGTATATTTTGTGGGCGAAACGCAGCAGCCAATTTTGCATGGCAGTGTCCCACAAACAGTCGTGGATTGAGCGACCACAATATTACAATTTTTCTTAAGGGATTATTACCCCTGGAAAGCGATCCGTCAATCGACTAACAACTGGGGTACTACTGCTAGGTAAACAGAGGCATGTGGAGTAAGGAGTAAACTTAACTAACATTTCGCCCGGCCCGGGAATTGAACCCAGGTCCTTTCGTTTGCGAGGCGAGTGCTCTAAACCAGTACACTACAGGACTCCACATTTCCTGTTTTAACCTTGACACGTCTTCTCCACGTCTCAACATTCCCTCTGATATTCCTACATTACCATCATCCTCCCGAGGTAGGGGATATGAAATTTTGCCCACAAAAACACCCACAGTCAATTCACTTTACAGTATATTCCGTGAAGTGCTTTGAGACGTCTCGAAGACGTGATAAGGCGCTGTATCGAATGCGAGGATTATTATTATTATTAAGGATTGTTCATTTATTGATTTTTTTCACCTCCTTGCATCTTTGGCAGCTCAGAAACGGTTGAAGAACAAAGACTGTGGTGTGAAGCCCACTCAACCCCCAGGGGGGCCTTATCGTAGCGGATCTTACAGAAAGCAAGCTGAATTCCTAGCATCACATCCCACGCATCAATTCAGCTATTATTAAACCTGCATTTGCAGGCAGCAGCCCTGGAGGGAGAGAAACTATAGGTGCCTCACATTACATCACAGAAATCAGTAGCTAACGCACATCAAGCCTTTCCGTTTGGGAATTGAAAAGATGGAGGGCTGACGTATACAGCAGAATCGACTTGAAAAACACTGTCGACGTTAAACCTTTCAACACTCAGCCTTTCACCAGGGGGTTTGGTTACGTCACGATGCCTGTTCATGGCAGGTCTGGAACACACTGCCTGAAAGGGTGGTGGAATCAGATTCGATCATAGCTTCAAAAGGAAATTAGATAGTTAATAATAATAATAATAATCCTTGCACTTGATATAGCGCCTTATCACATCCTCCCGACGTGAAAGGCGCTCTATAAATGGAATCTTGTTGTTGTTGTTGTTGTTCGAGACGTCTCAAAGCGCTTCACAGTATATACAGTAAAGTGAATTGACTGTATATTTTGTGGACGAAACCCGGCAGCCAATTGCGCACAGCAGCGTCCCACAAACGATCGTGGATTGACTGACCAAATTATTATTATATATTTTTTGAAGGGGTTATTACCTACGGAAAGCGATCCGCCAATCGATTTACTACTGGGTAAATAGGAGTGTGGAGTAAGGAAACTTGCCTTAGGTTTCGCCCTGCCCAGGAATCAAACCCAGGTCCTCTCGCTTGCAAGAGTACTTAAAAAGGAAGAATTTACGGGGCTATGGGGTTAACAGCGGGTGAGGCGGACTGGTTGGTAGCTCTTTCAAAGAGCCGCCACAGGCACGATGGGCCAAATGGCCTCCTTCTGAGCTGTAAGATTCTATGAAAACAGATTGAAATCAAGATTCTCGTCCTCCATTTGCAAATGCTTCCAATGGCCTCAACTCACTCTTGTGACTCCTGTGACGTGTTGTTGGTAATAATATTCATAATAATAATCCTTTCATTTGATATAGCGGCTTATCGCGTCATCTCAAAGCGCTTCACAGAATGCACTGGTAAAGTGGAGTGACTGTAATTTGCGGGCGATTGGGCACAGCAACATCCACAGATGTCACAAAAACTGTCACGAAAACTGATCCCCACCCACTAACAACCCGGAAATCAGCCATATTAGTTTCCAGTGTCAGGTAAAAGGGGACCTCGGCTTAATGTATCCCTGACAATGCGAGGCTCCCCCCAACACTGTCCTGGAGTGACAGCCTTGACCGTGAGCTCAAAAGTCCCGATGTGGGGGCTTGAACCTCAGTCGTCCCCACAACTTTCCAACTCAGAAGCGAGAACGCGACTGACTGAAACAGGCTGACGCCTAATTTGACAGCAGAGCTTGACCCGAACCAGGATAATCCCTCTGGATTCTCTCCCAGGTCTGTCAGCAAAGTCTGAAGTGATGTGTTACATGTGGTAATTGGATAAGGGATTATTCCTTGCATTAGAGGGTTGAAAGCTGAGGACAGGCATGTGTTACAATGGGAGGGGGGTGGGTGCAGAGTGACAACCAGCCGCGGCATGTGGAATCCTTCTTTGCCCACAAGGGTGAATGAGGTGTCTAAAATCCTGCACCGATCACTGAGCCCCAGAATGAGTGAGCACTGAGAGACTGAATCATTCTCCATCTCAGCTCCAGCACTCGGAGCAGCTTAACGTGTAAGCTCTGTTTCTAAGCTGCTGAGTCGCTTGTCCATTTGCTTCAGGAAAGTGGAGCTTATTAAAGGCTGCACTACACACCTTCATCGTTCACCCCACGTACAGTTCATAGTAAATTCTGCCATTCCTGCTTTTTTACCTTTTTTTCCTCTGTTCCCAACCTGAACAGCGGAATTTTTTTTAGTTAATCAGCTGATACACAAAGCAATCCATCGCTGGGTTTAAGAGTATCCAAACCAGCCTGAGAGTCCCACACATAATAATAATAATAATATCTTATAATACTAATAATCCTTGCATTCGATACAGCGCCTTATCACATCTTTGAGACGTCTGGAGTGTGCGTTGGGGTAACTGCTGCAGTCTAACCAACTAAAACTACACAGCTTGACCATTGATATTGCAGTCTGGCCAGCTTCCCCAGCGTTTATTCTGCGAGGACCACTCTACCCATTTGGGCTTTGACTTGTGGGGTTACCAGGAGCCAAGCAGGAAGAATCCTTGCTCCATCAATAGCAGTACCTTGGAGTACAGGATCATGTACAGCAGTACTGCGGTTGCCTGGCTGAGATCCACCAAGCTCCACGGTGCTGAATATCTGAGGCCGTTAAAATAAATAACAAAGGGATTTTTACATTGCAGCCGGTGCTGTGGATAGTTTCTCCAGTCAACCATCAAACATCCAAATGCCTGACTATAAATTATTAAAGAATATTAAATTCATCCCTCAGCAACACACATAATATCATAAGATCTAAAAATAATAATAATAATCTTACAGCACTGAAGGAGGCCATTCAGCCCATCGTGCCTGTGCCGGCTTTTTGAAACACCTATCCAACTAGTCCCACTCCCCCGCTCTTTCAACATAGCTCTGCTATTGTTTTCCTTTTCAAGTACCTATTCAATTCCCTTTTGAAAGTTAATATGGAATCTGCTTCCACCCACCACCCTTTCAGGCACCTTACATGCTCCTCAAACATGGAGAGTGATTAATATGCCACAAAACAATAAGGAAACTCCTCTGGACAGAGCTTCGTGACAAGTGTTGAGAGAGCGGATACAGAGTGTGACATTACTCTGAACCTACTTATAATTACATAGCATGTGACAACAAAAGCAACAACTTGCAGTTATACATTGCCTTTCACGTTGGGAGGATGTCCCAAGGCGCTGGACAGTGAAGGGTTTACACCCGATCTAGGGCTTGGGATCAGGAGCAAAGGGTAGGTGGGTGGAAGAGGGACAATGACCGAAGACGCTATCAAAAGGAAAGTCTTGAGACGGGCACAGAAGGAGGCGAGGGAGGGGGCGAGGCGGAGGGGCTCCGGGATGGAGCTTCAGAGGGTGGAGCGGGCTGGGAAGGGTACATGAGGCAGGCCATTCAGTGTTTACACTACACATGCTCGAGCCTCCATCCCTCCTCATCCACTCTCTCACATCCCTCTATTCCCTCCTCCCTCATGTACCCTGACCCGTGCTCTAGTTTATTATCTGGGCTTGTGTTGATCAAGTTGATCTGTACATTGTGTGAGTGGGATTATTGATTAGTTTCTCTCTCTCTCTCTCTCTCGATTTAGTTTGCTCCTTTGTTGTCCACAAACGTTGCCATGAGTTTGTCACCTTTTCGTGCCCAGGAGCAGACACGGGACCTGCCTCTGAGGTAAGTCCAAGCCCAGTGGAGTTGCCGCTTGTATTATTATCGTTATTGTTAATAATGAGCTGGATTCACTGACCCAGTGCCAGAGACTTACCTTTGCAGGTGACACCAACTTGGGCGGAGAGGGAAGAGGGGGACTGTGGAATTAGAGGAGGCAGCAAAGGTTTTACAAAGAGAGCTTGAGAGGGTTTTGCATGTTGGGCAGAAGTTCAATATATACGAGGCCTGTAGTGCAGCGGTTAGAGCGAGAGGACCCAGAACAGAGCAAAACCTTCGGCAAGTTTCCTCACTCCACAAACGTGCCTCTGTTCACCTAGCGGTAAGTAGGAACCTGGGTGTTAGGTGATTGGTGAATTGCTTTCGGGGGGGGTAATAATCCCTCCAAAACAAATTGGTCACTCAATTCACGACTGCTTGTGGGACATTGGTGGGTGCAATTGGCTGCTGTGTTTTGCCCACAAAACACACAAATCCTCACCTATCACTTTCACCCATCCTATGGGATGGAGTTCGAGAGGGTTGGGGGCAGAGGGGAGGGGAGAGGAGGGGGGGGCATAGTAATGGTCGTTTTGTGGGCAAGGTTTTGCCGATAAAATACAAGTGAATGCGGAGGAAACGGGATGCGTGGCCTGTTTTAAAATTGAGTTTAAAATCCTCGCCCTCACCTTTAAAGCCCCCACACTCTTGCTCCCCCCCACACCTCCGTGGCTTCCTAAAATCCTATCTATATTCCCGCTCCTTCCGCTAAACGGGCACTGGCCTTCTCTCTGTCTCCCACCCTGCCCTCTCCACCATCGGCGGTCGGGTCTTCAGCCTCTCTGCCCCCACCCCCTGGAACTCCATTCAGGAGCCCCTTTGCCATGCCCCCCCACCCCCCAACCACCCCCCTTCCTTGCCTGCTTCAAAGTACTTCCTTTTTGACCGCGCCTTCGGTCATCATCCCCCTCCCCCCTCCCCACCGCCGCCTTCCCCGCCCTCCACCCCTCTTGACTCCAACCCTCAGCTCGGGGCCAAACCCCTTGACTGTCCAGCACCTTGGGACGTCCGCCCGACATAAAATGTGCCGTGTAAATGCCATTCATGTCGTTGTTGTCGTCGTCGTTGTCGGCACTGCTTACGGCAAGAACTTGCGATCATATAGGATTGCCTGAGAGGAACAGCGAGGAGCTGAGCTCGCGTAAAGCCGGGAGAGGGGCCGGGCACACAGCGCTGGGAGAGGGTGTGAATGAACCTAAATTTAACTGCGTGTAATAGCAGCCTGTAATAATTACGTTCTCTAATGAGAGGTGCATTCTCTTGGGGTAAACAAGCCACTGGTGACCTTTACCTCATAATGAATGTTTTGTCAATGTTTGGCCTCTCTGCCTCCGTCACCTCCCCCGAGTTTCTAACCAAACAAACCCCCGGCAATTGATCAACTCATTAAACAAGCTCAGGGGTATTGATTAGGATGAATCTGCCCTCAGCTGCCAGCAAAGTCCAGTTCCCTTTTTACTCACAGACAGACGGTCTCTGGTGGCTCAGGAGCTGCTGTAACTGCCACAGCTCGGAGCTGGAGAGGAAACAGCAAGTGTTTTGGGGAACGATGAGACTGCAACCAGCAGCTTGGAACCTCACTAAAGAGCGAGTTGTCCACCCACTTGCCACCTGCCTCCGGGCAGAAAACACATGGGCAAACTCAAGGGGAAGAACTGTAGTCTAGACTCTGAGAGGCAGTGCAGCATAATCATAATAATATATTAATTATAATAATATAACAATCATAATAATATTAATAATTATAATATAAAATAATCATAATAATAATCATAATAATATAATAACCCTCACCATAATAATCCTTGCATTTGTTATATATATAAACTATATTTGATATCAATGCCTCAAAGCACGTCACAGAATGAAACACCATGATGCGCAATTGGCTGCTGAGTTTCGCCCACCAAACACCCAGTCGCTCCCCTTTACAGTACATCCCAGGAAGCGCTTGGAGGCGTCTCAACAACCTGCTAAGGCGCTGTATCAAGCGCGAGGATTACATGGTAGATTATTCTCTTCGGGGAAGGATTGGCAGGAGATACAATGGGATTCAAGGCCTGGAAAATAATGAGGGGATCTCAGCTGCAAAAACGCTTTGAAGCGAAGCCACAATTCACAAAATCAGCCACAAATCCCAAAATGCGACCAAAATGCGGCTGAGTTGTGAACCTCATTCCCCCCGACACTGACTGTACAGTGGGTTATTCATGTCAGGTCCTGTCTGACCCCTGTCCACATCCAGCTCAGCATCACACCAGGGCCCAGCGAGGCAAGGCTAGATGTTAATCACCTCTTATACGTTGTGTTCGTATTTGCTTCCTCTCGTGCACTTCCTTTTTATTTCCCCTGTTATTTCCTCCCACTCACGGTTGCTAAGGAAACCGACATTAAATTCTGCAGCTTTTCCCAGAGGCCAGTCAGTCACTGCACTCTGTTCTGCAGAGAGCCAACGAGTGTGCAATGGGTGGGGGCGCGGGTGGGCGAGTGTGTGAGGGGGGGTGCGAGTGTGTGGGGGGGCGAGTGCGAGGGGGCGGTGAATGTGCGAGGGGGGGGCGAGTGTGCAAGGGGCAGCGAGTGTGCAAGCGGTGAGTCGAGTGTGCAAGAGGGGCAGCGAGTGGGAGGAGACGGCAAGTGTGCGAGAGGGCGGCGAGTGTGCGAGGGGCAGTGTTTGTACACGAGACGGCGGAATAAGTTTGTGTACGAGGTGACTGTGTAAGGGAGGGCAGTGTATTTGCGAAGGGCAATGAGTGCATGCAAGGGGATTGGGTGTGTGTGTGTGTGTGTGAACAGTCTGTGTGTGTGAGAAGCCTGTGTGTGTGAAATGTGTGTGTGTGTGTGAGAAGCATATATGTGTCTGTGTGTGTGAGAAGCATATATGTGTCTGTGTGTGGAGTGAGAAGCCTGTGTGTGTGAAATGTGTGTGTGTGTGTGTGTGTGTGAGAAGCATATATGTGTCTGTGTGTGTGAGAAGCATATATGTGTCTGTGTGTGGAGTGAGAAGCATTGTGTGTGTGAGGGGCCAGTGTGTGTCTGTGTGTGTGTGTAAGAAGCCAGTGTGTGTGTGTGTGAGAAGCATGTGTGTGTGTGTGTGAGGGGCCAATGTGTGTGTGTGAGAAGCCAGTGTGTGTGTGTGTGAGCGACTGCTAATTTTCCGCTCTGCAAACAAGATCTATCTCTGGGCGTCAGCTGAAATCTGTCATTAGTTCAGGGTGTGGGTGTGTCTGCGCAAGTGTCCAATATTCTGAGCAAAGCTGAGGGGGAGTGGGGGGTGGTTGAGGGGGAGGAGGGGGTTGAGAGCGACGAGGGGGTTGAGGTGGGGAGGGAGTGGCTGCTGTTGGAAGCTTTGCTCCTTTTGATCACGTGTTATTTCATTTTCATTATATTTTTTGGTCAGGCCTTCAGCATCTGCCCCCATCCTTTGGAACTCCATCCCACAGTCCCTTCACCTCACTCTCTCCCTCGCCTCCTCCAAGGCACGTCTCAAGACCTTCCTCTTCAATTGCGCCTTCGGTCACCCTCCTACCCCCTGCACCCCCCTGCCCTCCACCCCCTCCTGATCCCAAACCCCCAGGTCCGGTCCAAATCCCTGACTGTCCAGCTCCTTGGGACATCCTCCTGATGTGAAAGGCGTTGTGTAAATGTAGGTGGTTGTTGTTGTTGTTGTAGGACCCGCGGAGCAAACACAACTTTAAGGTGCACACGTACTCCAGCCCCACCTTCTGTGACCACTGTGGCTCCCTGCTGTATGGCCTCATCCACCAAGGCATGAAATGTGACAGTAAGTAGCCCTGTACTGATCCAGCCTGCGTTACACACACACACACAAACGTGTAGCCAGACCAGCCTGCGTTACACACACACACACAAACGTGTAGCCAGACCAGCCTGCGTTACACACACACACACACACAAACGTGTAGCCAGACCAGCCTGCGTTACACACACACACACACACAAACGTGTAGCCAGACCAGCCTGCGTTACACACACACACACAAACGTGTAGCCAGACCAGCCTGCGTTACACACACACACACAAACGTGTAGCCAGACCAGCCTGCGTTACACACACACACACACACAAACGTGTAGCCAGACCAGCCTGCGTTACACACACACACACACACACACACACACAAACGTGTAGCCAGACCAGCCTGCGTTACACACACACACACACACACACAAACGTGTAGCCAGACCAGCCTGCGTTACACACACACACACACACGTGTAGCCAGACCAGCCTGCGTTACACACACACACACACACACGTGTAGCCAGACCAGCCTGTGTTACACACAACATGCGTTGTGTGTGTCCTGCGGTATGATTGAGTGACACGCTCTCTTGTCCCACAGTATGTGTAATGAACGTTCACAAGCGATGCGTATCCAATGTGCCGAGCATGTGTGGGATGGATCACACTGAGCGACGTGGACGACTCTTCATCAAGGCTGAAATTGTCAAAGATCTTCTGACGGTGCTGGGTAAGTATCTGACTGAGCCCTCACTGTGAGCGTCAGAGGCTCTCATTCTCACTGTCCGGCCGGGTTCCCAGGGCAGGTACGAGGTGTGTGAAGGTCTCCAGTCCGCGGGTGGCTGGGTGCTGAGCCTCTATATAAGAATAATAAAAATAATATTAATCCTTGCATTTGATATAGCGCCTCATCACATACTGTAAAGTGGATTCGCTGTGTATTTTGTGGGCGAAACTCGGCAGTCAATTGCGCAGAGCAGTGTCCCCTCAAACAGTCGTGGGAGGGATTATTATTCCTGGAAAAGCAATCCCGACAATCGACTAACAACCGAGTTCCAATTTACTGCTGGATAAACAGAGGCGTGTGGGGCAAGGAAACTTGCCTAAGGTTCCGCCCCGCCCGGCAATCGAGCCCGGGTCCTCTCGCTTGCGAGACTAGTGCTCTAACCACTGAGTTTGGGTAATAATCCGTTCCCCCCCCCCAAACAATTATAATAATTTGGTCATTCAATCCATGATGGAGTGTGTCAGGGAATGGAGTATTGGTGCCACCGTGTGGGAATGTGGAAGAAGTACAGGCATTTACAGCTGGAGCAATTTTACAGAGTAATAATATTAATCCTTGCATTTGCTATAGCGCCTCATCACGTCCTCGAGACGTCTCAAAGCGCTTGACACGATATACTGTGAAGCGTAGTGACTGTGTGTTTTGTGGGCGAAAATAGGGGAAAACAGAGTGTGGGTCAGCTGGTTTTCAGAGTAAAAGTCGTTCAGAGAAGATGGTTTGAAGTTGTACTCAGTACGTGTACATTTCGCCCACAAAATACACAGTCAGTTTGCTTCACGGTGTAGGCTGTGAAGCGCTTTGAGACGTCGCACATGCGAGGATTATGTTTATTCAGGTCCGTGCTGATCTCAGGCCGAGGAGTGAGGGGTGAGGGGATTTTGAAACGCTTAAAAACAAGAGGAATTTTGGGGACCCAGCTGGTGGGCCCTCTGACCTCGGGGACAGTCCAATGGTTGTGGGTTGTTTGGGGAATTGAATGTAAGACTCTTATGTCTCTTGATCCGTGCAATGGAAAGTGCTGCATTCAGACACAACGTGTTATTTGTAAACTGGTCACCAGAGGCAGCGTTTCCCCAACCTGCCTTGCCAGCCACACACACACACACACACACAGCGCTGCTGCCAAAACAGGTTTATTTCACTCAACTCTTCACGTTGCTCTTTTCCGCTCAATATGTTGCTCAGCATCAGTCACCTCCTGCTCCACCGTCACCGCACACCGCAGCGAGCAAGAATCCCATAGCGTAGTGGTTGGCGAGCTCGCCTCGCGAGCGAGAGGACCCGGGTACGATTCCCGGGGCAGGGCAAAACCTTAGGCAAGTTTCCTGACTCTGCACCCACGCGCACGCACACGCACACACACACACACGCCTCTGTTTGTCTAGCAGTGAGTAGGTCGTTACTCGATTGGCACATCCGGGGGTAATAATACCTCAAAAAAAATGTAGCCACTCAATCCACGGCTGTTTGTGGGGACGCTGCCGGGCGCATTTGGCTGCCGCGTTTCGCCCACAAAATCCACAGTCACTCCAATTTACAATACATTCTGGGAAACGCTTTGAGACGTCTCAAAGACGTGATAAGGCGCTGTAACAAATGCAAGGATTATTGTTATTATTATAACCCAACACGGGTGGGGGACAGACAGAATGTGTTGAGGTCTATTGTGTGCTCAGTGCGAGGAGAGGTGTGTGTGGGGGAAGAGGTGGGGAGCGGAGGGATAACGGGCAGAAGAGGGGAGGGAGGGGAGTGGTTTGGGGGAGGCCTGGGCTGAGGGAAGACTCGGGTTCAGCACCTAAACCTCTTCATTATTATTTCCAGTGAAAGAGGCAAAGAATCTGGTTCCTATGGATCCCAACGGCCTGTCAGACCCCTACGTGAAGCTGAAACTGATCCCTGATCCAAGGAGCGAGAGCAAACAGAAAACCAGGACTATGAAGTGCTCCCTGAACCCCGAATGGAACGAGGCCTTCACATTGTACGTTACACAGTGTCTCTCTGTACATCAGCGTCTCTCTAGCATCTCTCCCTCAGCTGCTAACGCTTCTCTCTGTCTCTCTCTCTCTCTCTCTCTCTGTCTCACCAGTACCCTCAAGGACTCGGATAAAGATCGGAGACTTTCCATCGGAGTGTGGGACTGGGATCTAACCAGCAGGAACGACTTCATGGGATCGCTGTCCTTTGGCATTTCAGAGCTGCAGAAAGCGGGAGTGAATGGCTGGTCAGTGCAGACACATTACTTTCTCTTTAACCGTGCCTTCAGCTCCCCTCTCGACTCTCTTCCTCCTCCTCGCTCCCTCCCTTCCCTCCCCTCACCCTGACCATTTCCCCCCTCCTCTCTCCCTCCCTTCCCTCCCCTCACCCTGACCATTTCCCCCCTGCTCGGGTCATGACCCAACTGTGCAGCGCCTTGGGACGTCCTCCTGACGTGAAAGGCGCTCTATAAATGGAATCTTGTTGTTGTTGTTTGTGTACAAGAACGAGAAACTTTGAGTGATGTCTCAGTGGAGACTTGCCAACCTTCGCCTGCCTTATACCAGTCACTAAATCAAGGTGGTCCAACTGGCGGCCCGCTGGCCGCATCCAGCCCGGGAGATGATTTCCTCCAGCCCACGAACCATTTCCGACTGCATTATCCAACGAGCAAATACAGGCAACACTCAGGCCCTGAGCCAATCAGGGGATGGTCACTGGAGGCTATGACTCTCCCTGGCAATGGTCAATCAGGATAAAATATTGTTTATGTGACCCGCAGACCCTTCCCATATCCGACATCCAGCCTTCAGTAGCCAAAATGTTGCCCCCACCCACCCCCACCCCAACCCCACCCAGCCTGGTGTCTTGACATACGCAGAAACCCATCACCATGATTAAGAGACTCCAAACCAAGCTGAGAATTTCCTGCGTCCCACCTACACGTGGAAATCCCAGAGATGGATTGTTGGAATGGAATGCGCTCTCTTTCTCCCTCTCTCTCTCTCTCCCTGGAGGGATGCATCCTGTTTACCTAATTCCGGAGAGTATTAGGCGCAGGTTGGCAAGAGCCAAGGCTTGGGGGGAGCCCAGAGTGTGCGTTGGGGGTAACGCCTGGAGTCTTAACCACGTGGCTTGCCATTGATATGTGATAATGAGCTGAGCTGAAGTCAGGCAGTCATCGGTGTAATGTGAATGGCTTGTGCGCAGGTTTAAGCTGCTGAGTCAGGAGGAGGGAGAGTATTATAACGTGCCAGTGCCCCCAGAGGATGAGGACGAAGGAAATGAGGAACTGCGGAAGAAGTTTGAGGTTCGTGGACCCCACAGCAGCCTGGCTCAGTGTGTATGTGTGTGTGTGTGTCAGCCTGGCTCAGTGTGTGTGTGTATGTGTGTGTCAGCCTGGCTCAGTTTGTGTGTGTCAGCCTGATTCAGTGTGTGTGTGTGTCAGCCTGATTCAGTGTGTGTGTGTGTGTCAGCCTGGTTTAGTGTGTGTGTGTCAGCCTGACTCAGTAGAGTAATTATGGTCTGGCCTCCAGTGTTGGAGGTAACTGTGTCCTTGAGATCATCCCAGCCCTGAAGCAGTCACTCCCTGCGGAGCTGGGATGAAAGGACATAAGATGTTAATAGGCTGGTGGGGAAGGACAGACTCTCTACGAGATCCTGGGTTAGTTACGGTCGCTGCTCTCAGGCCATTAGCCCGGCACCTTTATCCGAACCTGAACTGGTACTGAAGTAGCTGTGTGCAAGCAAGCAAGAGAAAAGCCACGTGTTAATCAGATCAGAGCCATTAAAGATGACTTATTTGAGTGTGTGATTGAGGACAGTCTGATCTCCTCGCTAAACACTGTCCTTTCTCCCAAAGGCTCCATTTCAAGGACCTCACCTCACTAATAATAATAATAATCCTTGTGTTTGATACAGCGCCTTATCACGACGTTGAGACGTCTCAAAGCGCTTCACAGGACACACTGTAAAGTGTAGTGACTGTATATTTTGTGGGCGAAACGCAGCAGCCAGTTTGCGCACAGCAGCGTCCCACAAACAGTCGTGGATTGAGCAACCACAGTTTTTGGGGGGGGGTTATTACCCTGCGGAAAGCGATCCGCCAATCGACTAACAACCGGGTTCCTACTTACTGCTGGTAAACAGAGGCGTGTGTGCGGAGTCAGGAGACTTGCCTGAGGTTTTGCCCTGCCCGGGAATCGACCCGGGTCCACTGGTTTGAGAGGCGAGTGCTCTAACCACTGCACCAAAGGGTCTCCACATTCAGCCCCATAATCTGCCACTAGACTGTGCCCCCACTCACACACACACACACACACACACACCGTGGCTGGGCTGGGCGGTGTCACCCTGCTGGTGGGCTGGAGGTATGTGACGGATGGCTGCTGTCTTTACAGAGAGCTAAGATTGGCGCTGGCTCCAAGGCGCTGGAGGAGAAGAGGAACAGCGCTGCCAGGACCGACAACGGCAACCGCGATCGGATCAAACTCGGCGACTTCAACTTCCTGATGGTGCTGGGCAAGGGCAGCTTCGGCAAGGTAGGGGGCTACCCCGACACTGTACAACAACAACAACAACTTACATTTACACAGCGCCCCCCCCCCCCCCCCCGCCTCCCCACCTCACGCAGGGAAACCCCCCCCCCCCAGAGCTCTTGACAGTGGCGCCGAGCCTGGGGTTTGGGTGTGGAAAGCTCGGTCGAAGAGGACTGTCTTCAGGCGCGACCTGAAGACGGAGCCTGGCGTGAACTGGTGGGATGGGGGTACGGAGTTTCGAGCGGGTGCGTACGCAGGCGGCAGAGTTAAGGACGTAAGAATTTGTTGGCGAAAGCAGACCAAAGTCCATCCAGTTTACCTTCCACCATCCAGGCCATCGCTTGACATGTCCGGTCCCGAACTATATACTCTCACCCACCCCCCCCCACCACCAGGTATTATTTTCCAGCAGAAATCTCTCTCAGCTTTCTTGCCACAAACAACATTTTCTGCTTCCGCCGTCTCCCACCCTCGGGAGCCTGTTCCGTACGTTTGCTACTCTCTCACTGAGGAAGTGTTTCCACAGATTTGTTCTGAATTTATCTCCCCTCCAATCGCAAGCTGTGTTCTGGATATAGCCAACACAACCAGGCACACCACACACACACACCGTGACACCACACACACACCGTGACACCACACACACACACACTGCGACACACATACACACACACAGTGACACACACACACCATCTCACACACACAGTGACACACACGGTCACACACAAACACCATCGCACACACACCGTGACACACACACACAATGACACACACCGTCACACACACACACCGTGACACCACACATAGACAGCATGAAGCAAGCCCAGGAGCCCAGCATGGAGGACGCACTGTCTGATGCCTAGTCTGTTCTCTACAGAATGTGTTACTGATGTAACTCAGCAATCCTCATGTTGTGTTTCTATTCCCTCGATTCACTGGGGCTTTAATCTGATGAGCAAACATGTAAATTCTTCCGAACCTGTAACACGACTTGTTTTCTCTCTGGATATTGCCAGAGGAAGTGGGCGCTCGGCAATACTGCACTGGCAGCAGTGCCCGCACTGTGGGTCCCTGGCAATAGTCAGCAAAGCTGACTCTCTGTGTCTCTCTCTGTCTAAGTCTCTCTCGCTCCATCTTAAGTCTCGAGTCTCTCTCTCTCAGTCTCTGTCTGTCTCTCTCTCTGTCTGAGTCTCTCTCTGTCTCTCTCTGTGTCTGAGTCTCTCTGTGACTGAGTCTCTCTCTGAGTCTCTCTCTGTGTCTGAGTCTCTCTGTGTCTCACTGTGTCTGAGTCTCTCTGTGCCTCTCTGTCTGTGTGAGTGCAGGTGATGCTGGCGGAGAGGAAGGGCACTGATGAGCTGTACGCCATTAAGGTGCTGAAGAAGGACGTTGTGATCCAGGATGACGATGTGGAGTGTACGATGGTGGAGAAGCGAGTGTTGGCCGTGGCGGGCAAACCGCCCTTCCTCACTCAGCTCCACTCCTGCTTCCAGACCATGGTGAGCATGTGCACCACATCGAGGTGGGGGTCTGAGCAACATCACTTCCTACTTCCTGCCAGTCTGAGAATCTGCCCTCTCCCCCCCTCCCGCGTCTCCATAATAATAATAAATAATAATAATCCTTGCATTTGATATAGCGCTTTTCACGTCGGGAGGACGTCCCAAAGCGCTTCACAGAACACACTGTAAAGTGAATTGACTGTATATTTGTGGGCGAACGCGGCAGCCAATTGCGCACAGCAATGTCCCACAAACAGTCATGGATTGAAAATGACCAATTTATTATTGTTTTTGGTTTTGGAGGGATTATTATTAGGCTCTGTGTGGAGTAAGGAAACGTGCCCAAGGTTTCGCCCTCTGCCTGGGATTGAACTCAGGACTCTCGCTTGCAAAGCGAGTACTCTAACCACTGAGCTACAGGACTCCATCAGGGCACGTCTCAAGACCATCCTCTTCCATCGCACCTTCGGTCAATCTCCTACCCCCGCCCCTCCTGAACCCAACCCCCAGCTCGGGTCCAAATCCCTGACAGTCCAGCGCCTTGGGACGTCCTCCTGACGTGAACGGCCCCGTGTAAATGTCATTTCCCATTGTGGCTTTCCCTATTTTTTTCCCTATTTTCCATATCTTATAATACCTTACGTTTGATATATTATGGCCTCAAAATGTCTCAAAGCACTTCACAGACTATACTGTGCAATACAAACCACATTTGTATTGCTCCTTTCACGTCGGGAGGACTTGAATATAGTGTAAAATGGATTGACTGTGTATTTTTTAGGCGAAAGACGGCAGCCAATTGCGCTTATGATGACAGTGTCATGAGAGCATAAGAATTGCCGGCCAAAAGAGACCAAGGTCCATCCAGTTCGTCTTCCACTCCCATCCTGGCAGTCACTTGCATATGTCGTATCCCAAACTATATACTGCATTGTGTCCTACAAAAGATTTGAATGATCAGAAAGCGTCGCTATAGCCTTGCTCGGGTGTGAGTGAGTGCTCCCACCTTCGGGTCAAAAGACCGTGCTTTTAATCTCCTCGGTTTGATCCATTGTCTTACTATTTCTTATCTTTATTCCACCCCCCAAACAGGAACACTTGTATTTTGTAATGGAATATGTGAATGGGGGAGACCTCATGTACCAGATACAGCAAGTCGGCAGATTCAAGGAGCCACATGCCGTGTGAGTGTCTAGCCGCGCGTGTGTGTGTGTGTCTCGCCGTGTGAGTGTGTCTAGCTGTGTGTCTAGCCATGTGTGTGTGTAGCCGTGTGTATCTAGCCATGTGTGTGTGTCTAGCCGTGTGAGTGTGTGTGAGCGTATCTAGCTGTGTGCGCATGTGTGTGTCTAGCCGTGCGTGTGTGTAGCCATGTGTGGGTGTGAGTGTCTAGCCGTGTGAGTGTGTGTGTAGCCATGTGTGTGTCTAGCCGCGTATGCGTGTGTCTCTCGCTGTGTGTGTTTCTAGCCGTTTGTGTCTCTACAACAACAACATTTCATTTATAGTGTGTGACTCTCTAGCCATGTGTGTGAGTGTGTAAGCGTGTGTGAGTACTGTATCTGTCGCTGTGTTCTAGTAGGGAGTTGGATGCTGTGTATTTAATGTGTAAGTAGTTACGATGGGACTAAGATGCTGACCTGGCTCCCCCTGGCTGCTGTGTGCAGGCTGACCCTCTGACACGCTCTCCCTTTCAGCTTCTACGCCGCTGAAATCGCCATTGGTTTGTTCTTCCTGCATCGCAGAGCCATTATTTACCGGTGAGTTTACTTATTGATTGATTCATTGATTTGCCTCGCTCCCTCCTTCCCTCCCTTCCCTCGCTCCAAATCCCTGACTGTCCTGCACCTTGGGATGTCCTCCCAGGGTGAAAGGCACCACGTAAATGTAGTTTATTGTAGTTGTGGTTGAGTGAGTCAGCCGTGTTTCCCGCTGCTCCGAGCCACACGCCGGATCGTGTGTGTGTACAATAATCACATGTGTTACACGCGAAGCGCACACATACAGTAGCAGAAAGAGTACATGTCGATGCACTCGACGTGTACTCCCCCATTGGGCCATGACATTACTCTTATCTGGGCACAGTTCTTAAATCTCTGCCCCTCCCCCAGTATTACTAAGCTCCTCCCCCAGTATTACTAAACCCCTCCCCCAGTATTACTAAGCTCCTCCCCCCAGTCTTACTCTCTGCTTGCCCCTCCCCCACCCATAGAGACCTGAAGCTTGACAATGTGATGCTGGATTCTGAGGGACATATAAAGATTGCTGACTTTGGGATGTGTAAGGAGAACATGAGCGACGGTATCACCACCAAGACCTTCTGTGGCACGCCTGACTACATTGCCCCCGAGGTAAGCTGTTCCCCCATCACACACGCACTCCTCCCTCCCAGCCAATATCCTCTGCAGAGAGGTACAGCCTCACCTCGCATTTCGTACATTTGTGTTTGCAGATCATCGCCTACCAGCCTTACGGGAAGTCAGTGGATTGGTGGGCTTTTGGGGTGTTGCTGTATGAGATGTTGGCTGGACAGGTAAGAACTCACAATGATTCCAACTGATAATTATAGAATCCTACAGCACAGAGGGAGGCCATTCGACCCATCAGGCCTGTGCTGGCTCTTTGAAAGAGCTACCAACGAAGTCCCACTCCCCCGCTCTTGCCCCATAGCCCTTTTTAAGTACTTATCCAATTCCCTTTTGAAAGCTATTATGATGTTCACAGTGACATGAGAGTATGTGAGGGATGTGGATGGGGGGGGGCAGCGGGGCTTTGGGGGAGATACACTCCGAGCCATCAACCGGGGGGCAAAGCGGGTCACACACACACGGCTTCAGATCAATTAATGGGGCTGGATAAGGATTCCCAACCAGGCAGCACCATCTGTTGTCATCTTGATGTCTACACATACACACTTACAAACACTGCACACGCAAATTTACACACACGCTGCACACACAAATAAATACACACTACACACATGATGTACACACACGCACACATACACACAGACACATCACATGCACACCTGACACACACACACACTTACACACACATGCACACCACAGACACGCATGCACACCACATCATACACATACTACACACACACACATATAAATACACATGCTATACACACAAGCACACCGCACACACACTTACACACTCAAGTAAATACACACACTCCAGAGAGCAACTAATACACAGTCATTCGAAAAACAGCTTTCCCGTGTCACCAGAGGCACATGTTGACATGTTTACAAAATGAAGTATCTGTCGCTCTCTCACTCCCATTTCTCCCCCTCTCTCTTTCTCACTTTCTCTCTCTCCCACTCTCCCTCACTCTCATCTCTCTCTCTCTCACTCTCCCTTCTAGCCCCCTTTTGACGGTGAAGATGAGGATGAGCTTTTCCAGTCCATCATGGAGCATAACGTCACTTACCCCAAATCCATGTCCAAAGAAGCCGTCTCCATCTGTAAAGGGGTGAGAGCGCCGTGTGCTTGCGGGAACCAGAGCCTCTCCTCACTGCTGGCATCGTGAGAGGCTTGGATTTACATCAGAATAAGAATAATAATGATTGCATTTGATATGGCGCCTTATCATTACCCTGCGTGAAGGGCGCTATATTGTGCGCAATTGGCTACTGCGTTTTCCCTCAAAATATACAGTCACTACACTTTACAGTATATTCTGTGAAGCAGCCAATTGAGCAGAGCAGCATCCCACACACAGTCATTCATTCATTCATTCATTCATTCATTCATTCATTCATTCATTCATTCATTCATTCATTCATTCATCCATCCATCCATCCATTCATTCATTCATTCATTCATAGCTAGCTAGAGAGCTAGATAGACAGACAGATTGATTTTAATCAATCCATGACTGCTGAGCGCAATTGCCTGTTGCATTTATTATTATTATTATTATAATTATATCTGTCTGCAGTGAGCAATCTTGGGAGCACAGGGTCTGGAGTCAGTACAGTGACACAGTGATGCCTGGCGCTAGTGCCAGGTTGTGGTTTAGTCCCAATGTTGTACCCACCACAACCCTTGACCCAGAGCCGGTGAGCGCTGCTGACTCAGCCAGGCTCGCTCACACACCAGCACAGAGTGAGGGGGCTGTCTGCGTGTTCCAGTGCAGATCTTGAGTTGAGCAGCGGGGAAATGTGTCCAGTCGCACTCCATCATTCATGGCTTTGTTTGACGCTCTGCTGGTTCGGGAAAGCTGCCAAATGAATGTTTTCAGCTGTCAAACCGCTGCCTCCTGGCGTCGATTCCTGCACTCAGGAACCCTTTGAATTGAAAGCTACAGGCACTCTCTGCTCTGGGAGAGCACGTCTATTATTTAGAAGCACTTCTCAGAATAGCCTGCGATTGAAGATCCCACAAAGCTTTCAGTTCCACTCAGACACCACTTATTCATCTTCTGACATGGGTGGGGGGGGCCTGAAAATATGCAGTCCTGTAGCGTAGAGGTTAGAGCCCTCGCCTCGCAAGCGAGAGGACCCGGGTTCGATTCCCGGGCAAACAGGGCAAAATCTTAGGTAAATTTTCTTACTCCATACACCTCTGTTTAACTAGCAGTTAAGTAGGAACTGGTTTGTTAATCGATCGGCGAATCGCTGTATCAAATGCAAGGATTATCATCATTAAAATGTAAGATATTTCGGAGGTTGGGAAAATCCTGTTTTAATCGGGAGGCTGGTTTAATAACTTTTATTAACCAACTTCCACATTGAGACTGAACTGAAGAATATTCGCACAATTCTGTGCAATTGTAAATGTTTAAGACAAAATAATATTAATAATTCTTGCATTTGATAGCACCTCATCACGTCATTGAGACGTCTCAAAGCGCTTCACTGGATATATTGTAAAGTGAATTGACTGTGTATTTTGTGGGCGGCGAAATGCAGCAGCCAGTTGCACACAGCAGTGTCCCACAAACAGTCGGGGATTTTTTTNGGAGCGGTTATTACCCGCGGAAAGCGATCCACCAATCGACTAACAACCGGGTTCCTGCTTATTGCTGGTAAACAGAGGCATGTGGAACAAAGAAACTTGCCTGACATTTTGGCCTCCCTGGGAATAGATCCTCAGGTCCTCTCACTCACTCACTAACCACGACACTCCAGGAGTCCATATAGTCACTCCAGTTATATCTAATGGTTCCATCTGGGAGGTGGTTTATGCAGCGACAGGGCTTTGGGTGGACGGAGTTCCAGAGGGTTGTGGTTCCAGATCCTTCAGGTTTCTGGCTGTCCTATCGAGCAAGGATATCCTAACAGCTGTTAACGTTGATCGCTCTTCTCTCCCGACACAGCTGTTGACCAAACACCCGGCCAAGCGGCTGGGCTGCAGCCCCGAAGGTGAGCGAGACATAAAGGAGCACGCCTTCTTCCGCTGGATCGATTGGGAAAAGCTGGAACGTATGGAGATCCAGCCTCCCTTCAAACCCAAGGCCGTAAGTTGGACTTTACTTGTCTGGTCAGGTGGTCACTGTTTGTAGGTCTCTTATAGGGAGCATTGGACTGGATTGAGTTGTGGGGGAGCAGGGCTGTGTGTGGGGGGGGGGGGGGGGCGGAGAACAACAGCAGTTAGAGAGGGAAACACATCATTAATAATCCTCTCCTAGCTGTCATGTGACGTTGGTAATTATTCCCTCTTGTGGGTGGCTGTACACACTGGCTGTATCTCACAGGGTTTCTGAGTGGCCTGACTCAGACACACACAGCAATGTGTTCAAATGAAGCAAAATGAAGTACGTGCTACAGAGATGTATTTGATGTACTGTACAGGATGTCCACAAAGTCCTGTCACCTCCACCCCCCTCACCAGTTACACTAGGGGGAGCTGTAACAAGCCGTTAGAGATGCATTTCGCCTCCTCACTCCATTCAAGTCACACAAGATTGGCACCAAACATGGCGACCGATCATTATCTGGACGTCAAATACAGTTAAGCACTTGTACTGAGGAGAACTGAGAGCTTCTAAATACAATTCTTCCACTTGTTTCAGTTGTTGGTCAGTGCAGTGTAGAAAATAAACACATGGAGGTAACAGGACTTTGTGGCACCCTGTACATTTGCTGTGTAGTCACTGATTGCATTTGATGACACGGCCTTGGGAGAGCAGTTACATGCCCTGGATGTACCCTGTGTGAACAGGGAACCAAACCAAATCCTGCTAATGTGTGAAATTTCCTGGTCCCATCTGTTCCTACGTGCCGTTTGAGCTGATGGTGTGACTGTGTCGTGGGCCCCTGTGAGGGGGCGGCTCAGGGAGAGACTGGTCTTATGTTTGAGCCTCAGAGTGTGGGGCTGTGTGTATGTGATTACATTAGTGGTGTTGGGGTGTTGGTGGGTTGGAGAGTTGGTTGGTTGGGGGTTGGGGGCGTTGGTTGGTTGGGGGGTTGGTTGGGGATGTTGGTTGGTTGGTTGGGGGGGTTGGTTGGAGGGTGTTGGTTGGGGTTGGTTGGTTGGGGGGTTTGGTTGGTTGTTGGGGGGGTGTTGGTTGGTTGGGGGGGGTTGGTTGTTGGGGGTGGGGATGGTTGGTTGGGGGGTGGTTGGTTGGGCTGTATGATCAGTAACTTTGTCTATGCCATAATTGTTGTAGTGCTGGTGGTGGGGATCTCTGTGAGATGTCTGATGGGGCCTAAAATATGATGTTTTGCAAGAGAGAATCAGCTGCAGCTTTGACTTTGAGAGGTGGGATCAGTGGGTATCACTGAGTGCTTTTATTTCACCATCTTAATACAGCACCTGGAATTAAAGGGTTTAAATGATGATGATGGCTTTGGGTTATATTTCTGAGAAGTGAGCAAATATAACCCAAGGGTTGGGGGATTGGATGTGTGGGGAAGGATTTTGGGTGTTTGGGGCGGGAGGGGATTTGGGTCTGTGAGGGGGGTGGAGTTGGGTGTGTCTGAGGAGGGGGTTGGGTGTGCGGGAGAGCTGTGGGGAGGGGGGGGTGAAGAGGGGTTTGGGTGCGTGGGAAAGGGGGGCTAGTTGGGTGTATTTGACATGCTGTTGATTCTGTTTGAAGCTGTTGTCTAAGTGGTGATGTGAGGCAGCGAATTATGAGAAAGAGAGTGAGAGAGACGCAACAGTAACAGCGGTTGAAGGGAGGACATTTTGGGAGGAAGGATGCTTCGTGAAGAAGCATCTTCAGTCTTTTAACATTGCATTGCTCGACCCCCGATTTATAACACTGAAGGGTTTGTCCTCTCACCTGGGACGGGGGTCACACGAGGGGTGACTGGCGCCTCTCTCCAGCCTCCGATTGGGTTACAGATCTCAGCCGAAGGGTCCATCTGAGATCCAAGGTGAAATTTGTGGGTGTTAAGTGTTGATGAGACGAGCTGGATCCTAAACAGGAGAGAAAATCTCAGAGTGGTATAAACCCGATTGCATCTGCAGTGCCTATTCCATTCCTCATCCTCCTGGTACAGGTTTGTGTCAAGGTCGGAATCCATTGATAAGAACTTGTCATTCCTCCAAACCTCCATGACTCCATCCCATCTCTCCTTTCCTTCCACAGTGTGGTCGCAACGCAGAGAACTTCGACCGTTTTTTCACCCGCCATCCACCAGTGCTCACACCTCCTGACCAAGAGGTCATCATGAACATTGACCAGGCTGAATTCGAGGGATTTTCCTTTGTTAACACAGGCTACCTAAAGCCTGAGATCACCTGTTAAGCACCCGTTCAGGTGTGGGTGGGGGGAGGAAGGGAGAAAGAAAGAGAGAGAGAGGGCGAGCTAGCAGCTGTGTCCTTGAGTGGATGAGTGGGAGAGGTTGGTTTGGAGTTGGTTGGTTGATTGGTTGATTGGTTGGATGAACCTGACCTTTGCATGCCCCGGCTCTTGCTGTTAATCATGGCTGCTTTCGCAAATCTCCACGTGTCGGAATGCAGTTTCTCATCACCTCATCATTGCACAACAAATGCTAGAATGAATGCAAACGTGTTGGAAAGGCTGTACTGCTGTTGTCTGATATGATATGCCCAGCACTTGCCTTTCATTGGGTCTCTCTGTCCGAAGATGCTTTGCTCTCAGATTGCCAAAGTCAAGTTGTCCTGTGTTGGTTTATTAAACTGCCTTAATCTTGTGGCTTACGTCAATGAATGCTTTTCTGCTAAACTTCTCTCTCTCTCGAAAAGATCAGTGGAAAAAAAAACGGTGTCAAAACACGTGTTTGTTTTTTTCTAAATGTGTTTTTTTCTTTCCCGAGAATGTAAAGATGAACGATGGCTGAAATATTGGTTGTGACGTGCGGTTGGAAAGCGGTGTAAATGCTGATCTTTAGACGTGCTGTGATTTGCAATAAGAATAAAGTACAACGATGTAGAAGAGATGTAATTTCTCACAGTCTCAACCTTAAGACCGTTGTCTTAAAAGTTAAGATAATGCATCATTTTTGGAAAATCCTTAAATATAGTCATTTTCCAGATGCCATTTTTCTGCTGCTTTTTTTTCAAAAAAAGATCTGAATTTAAGATGAACTTGAGACTGAATTTAAGAATTCTCTTACCCTGCAGGATCTTATTTACGAGGCAACAGTCTTAAGGCTGGGGCTGTGAGAATTCTAGAGTCTCGGAATCTCTATTTGTGACCGACTGACTCCCAGTCACCAGTCAGAGACTCGAGCGAATTTAAAATTGATTTGAAACTTTAAAAAGAAGGAACGAGGAATAAAATGTTGCATGAGTATTATTGTTATTGGTGTGTGTGTGCGCGTGTGTGTGTGGGTGTTGCTGCGAGTAGAACAATATGCCGAATATTCCAGTGTTGATCTAATAAAGAAAATCGCACAGAAACTCTTCACCCTTCATGTCACAAGTGCTGCTCAACACCAACGCGAGGGGGGCTGTTCGGGAGGAAAAGGTAATGAACGTCTATCTAACACTGACATTGATTGGCCCCCAGGAAGTCCTTTTAATCCTTTACACGTCCCCAACTTTACTGTGTCGCTGGCAAAACAGAGTATAAATTACACCCAACCCCATGCTCTGGGCATCAACTGGGCAAGAATAATAATAATCCTTGCATTTGATAATAATAATAATCCTTACATCACGTCGTTGAGACATCTCAAAGCGCTTCATAGGATATATTGTAAAGTGAATTGACTATTTTGTGGGCGAAACGCAACAGCCAATTGCATACAGCAATGTCCCACAAACAGCTGTGGATTGAGTGAAGGAGGGATTATCACTCCTGGAAAGTGATCTGCCAATCGACTTAACAACCGAGTTCCTACTTTCTGCTCGCTAACCAGAGACGCGTGGAGTAAGGAAACTTGCCCAAGGTTTCCCCCGCCCAAGAATCGAACCTGGATCCTCTCGCTTGCGAGGCGAGTGCTCTAACCACTGAGCTACAGGACTCCGATGTATTGAAATGCCAGTCATCAGTAGTTGTGGATTGAAACCGGGACCATAAGTCTGAATAAACGTAAATGTGAATAAACAGCAACTCTGCAGTAACACAGTGAGTAACCCTCACCCTGTTACATTAACCAGTGTCGTCACACCTTACACCGTGTCTCCCAACTGGAGACAGCAACCTGCACATTGCCACAGTGAGCAGCTCACCCTCAACAGCCAGTGACTCAGTCTGGCTGCACACTGAGGAAACATCACTGGACAAGGAATAGGTTGATTTTCTGGTGCCATCAACAGGTTGGGCCTTCTTTACAACAGGCACTGAAACCATCAAGTGTTCCCCTGGATCTCTGGGGGGTAACTCTTCGTGAATGACATGTCAGCCTCCAGCCCCCAACCCCCCACACACACATCAATCTACGACCCCCCCCACTCCTCCAACCATGCCAACCTCCAACCCCAACCTCCCCCCTCCCAACTCCCCCAGTCTCCAACCCCCCTACCCCCAACACAAACAGCAATCTATGAACCCCCCAACCACAACACCCTCCAACCCCTCCCCGCCCCAGTCTCCAAACCCTTCCCACCCCCCCCAACCAGGCTCTGAATCCACATATCAAGGGAAGGTAATAATGTGAGACTGAACATATTAAATACTCCCATCATGTGTTCTGTGTTCTAAGGCTCATATGTGTGACAATTCCAACACGCATCTACTGGAGCACTGGCGACAGCTGTGTACAGTGACAGGCAACCTATTCATCAAGGTGTTAAGATTTCTCGTGCAGTTTGGGACGTGACATGTGCAAGCGACTGCCAGGATGGCGGAAGGCGAACTGGATGGCCTTTGGTCTTCTTTCGTCTAGCATTTCTCATGTTCTTCTAGGAACGGGAGGAGGCCATTCAGCCCCTCGAGCCTGTTGCGCCATCCTGTTAGATCACGGCTGACCTGTACCTTAACTCCAGTTATTGAATATCTTACTGGGAAAAGTGAGAGAATGGCTGAGGCCCTGACTTTTCCCAATAAGATATTCAATAATTGGGAGTTGAGGTACTGATCAGCCGTGATCTAATACAATGGGGTTCCATCCACTTGTTGAAGTGATGAAAAGCTGACATCCTTCAGGGAGCTGTGTATCGGCATGACCGCAGGGATGTTACTGTGTGAGCACAACTTATCCATTGGCCCTGGAATCCTGGAAGGTTTATCACCGAAGATCGGAATGTTCTAAACCAATCCACTAAAGAAAATCACCTTCAAGGAAATAATATCCCTAAACGTTTATAAAATGTACAATTTTGCTCCAATGAATGACATCGGGTAAAAACTAACTGCGCACACACTCATTGAAGCCAGACATTGACGTTGAGAATCATCACCTGCTCGCTTGAGCTCATCCCTACCCCTCTCCTTACCTCCCAGTTCCACCTCCTTGCCATCCCTTAAATCTCTCTCTGTCCACTGGCACCATTCCCACCATCTTAAAAACAGCCGGCATCACTCCTGCCCCCCAAAAAACACCCCTCGACCCGTCTCTGTTCTCTAATAACCACATCTCCAACCTCCCTTTTCTCTCCAAGGTCCTGCAAAGAGTCGTTGCTATTCAGAATTCTGCAACTCATGTCCTTTAAGCCCTCTTCATCCTCTGAAACTCCATCCCAGAATCCCTCCGTCTCACCCTTACCTCTTTCAAGGCCCATCACAAGACTTTCCTCTGTCATCATGCTTTCAGTCACCCTCCACCCCTCTTGCTTCCGACCCCAGCTCGGATACAAACCCTTAACTGTCCAGTGCCTTGAGATATCCTCCCTGAAAAACACTATATAAATGCAATTGTTGTTGTTTTTGGTGGTCTGCTCATTGTGTGTTGGGGAGGAGTTTGTTATTGTGTGTTGAGGGGTTTGGTCAATGTATTTTGGGGGAGAGGATCTTTCAGTGCTTTGGGATGTCTTCCAGATGTGAAGGTGCTACACCAATGTAATCTGTTGTTATTGTTGTTGTCTGCTCATTGTATGTTGGGAGAGGGTCTGTGTTGAGAGAGAATTGGCAAAAGGGGCATTTGTGTAGAGATGGCTACTCGTGGAGAGCGGTGTCTGTGGGATAGGGGGTGTCTGTGAGGGAGGGGGGTGTCTGTGGGGGAGGGGCAATGTCTGTGTGGGGGGGTATCTGTGGGGAGGGAGAGGGTGTCTGTGGGGTGTGTGTGGGAAGGGGTGTCTGGGCTATAGGGGTGTCTATGGGGGAGGGGAGGGGGTGTCTGTGGAGGAGGGCGGTGTCTGTGGGGGAAGGGAGAGGGTGTCTGTGGAGGAGGGGCGGTGTCTGTGGGGGGGTGTCTGTGGGGGAGGAGAGGGGGTGTCTGTGGGGGAGGGATTGTCTGTGGGGGGTGTCTGTGGTGGGGTGTCTGTGGGGGGGGTGTCTGTGGGGCAGAGGGGGTGTCTGTGGGGGAGGGGTGGGTGTCTGTGGGGGATGGGGGGGGTGTCTGTGGGGGAGGGGAGGTTGGTTGTGGCTGATTCTCATACCTGTGGCTCCACTCGATGACTGCACACCTGACAGCAATGAAACAAGAAGCTTCAAATTTCTAACAAAGATATTGAAGGGACAACAAAAGGACCAACTTCTTCTACCTTTGGTGTAAGTGAGCGCTAACTCCACACAATGGTCACTGGGCGTTCAGTGCCAGGAGCTACAGGAGCTCGAGGCTTGTCTCAGGTACACGTGTGCACAGCTCAATGTGTGAGATACTAAGCTTGACAGACGTGTAGAATGGGTTCCCAGAAAGACAGATGATGTGGGTGGTGGCAATGGGGGTCTAGTTGGAAATGGAATAATAATAATAATAATCCTTGCATTTGATATAACGCCTGATCACGTCTACGAAGCGTCTCAAAGCGCTTCACAGAATATACTGTAAAGTGAAGTGACTGTGCCCTCTGTGGGCGAGTTTGGTTTGAGACACTGCAGAAACTGAGCGAGTGAGTGCCCCAGGTTGGGGGCAGGGGGGGTGGGCAGAAAACACCGTTCCTTTTAGTGGAGGGAGGGACGAAGGGGTGATGGTGGGATTGAGTGTTTCTGCTGCGTAACATTGTCACTTGATTAAAAAGGTCCTTTATTTTGTCTGACAGAGGAACAGCAGGGAAGCTGGGAACTTTGACAGAGAGTTCACCCGACAGCCCGTGATGCTCACACCCACTGACAAACTGCTCATCATGAACCTGGACCAGCATGAGTTTGCTGGCTTCTCCTACGTGAACCCGGAGTTTGTGATCCAGGTGTAAAGCGGCAACCCACGTCAGCTGAGCCCGATCAGCCGCTTCTCTTATCTCTGAAGTGCAAACCGTTCATGTTTGCGAATGATTTTTTGATCTACCCACAAAACTGTGGACGGAGCCTGGCAAGCCAATGTTAGAAAGGTCTATCCTTGCTCGAACACTCTCATTCCCACACAGAGCATGTGCCACACCTCCCACTTCATCTCTGGCAAGCACCCCCTGTCTCCCTTCTCAGCTCTCTCTCTCTCTCATTTCCATTTCCACAGCTGTATTTGTTCCACTCTTCTGGATGGATGGATGGATGGATGGATGCTGCCTTTTGACCACAGGTTGGTCAGGTGCTGTGACACCCCTATGCCTCAATCTACTGTTGGAATGGATGTAAGGACAAAATACCAGAGGCAACAGAACCCCATCTGAGAAGCCCAGACCCACACCAACACCCACCAACCAACATCTCTGCCAGCCCTCACAGCAAGGTGGGGTGTCAATGGCAGGTTGTCCTAGTGATTGGGCTTGTGTGTAGGTGCTTGAATCATCCAAGGAACGGGTGGTTGAGTGGGTGGTTCTTGAGTGGGAGGGTGAGTGGGTGTTGGGGGTGTTGTATGACTATGAACCTCAGAAGAACATTTTGTGAGATGAGTGCCAAGGCATTGATAGGAAATTTACCAACTCGCGGAATATCTCTGCCAGCTTTGAGGTGGGCACTGGGCATCAGTACTCACTTACCTTCCCACCTACCCAGTTCCACCTTCTGACAGCCACTCACCCACTGAAATTGCCAACAACATTTTTCAGGCAGATTCATTTGAACTGTAACATTTTTGTATTTTATTATTTAAAACGTGAAATGTGCCAAAAATGGCTTATAATCAACATGGTAACCCAAACTGTGAAAATCAGCCCATAATTCCATGCTGGAGGAGACAGGGTGAGGGTGAAGGGCCAAGGCAGGAGTCAGGGTGGAGGGGGCGAGGCTAGTGAAGGGGGCAAGGGCGAGGGCAGGAGCCAGGGCGAGGGGCCAGGGCGAGGGCAGGAGTCAGGGCGAGGGGCCAGGGCGAGGGCAGGAGTCAGGGCGAGGGGCCAGGGCGAGGGGAGGAGATGGGGTAACAGGGGAGGAGCCTGGGTGAGGGGAGGGGCCAGGAGGGGAGGGGAGGAGCTGGGGGGAGGTGGGAGATGCCGGGGGTGAGGGTGGGGAAGTCGGGGCGAGGGGGAAGGAGCCGGTAGGTGTCGGGGTGGCTGTGTTTGGGAGGACGTGTTGCTGTCTCTCTAGTGTTCAATTCTAGTTGAAATTGGAGTTGAGGTAGACATGATCTAATAGAATGGTGGCACAGGCTCGAGGGGCTGAATGGCCTCCTCCTGTTCCTACGTTCCTATGTTCCCCAACACAACATCCCTCCTGCCACACACACAACTCCCCCAATGGTACAGAGGTGAATGTTTTGGAACTTGGCACTGCAGAAACTTTAAGACAATAACGGCAAGTGTGGCAATTATGAATGAGATAAGATGTTTG